ATTACTAACAGATTTGTTTTGTAGAGTATCCTGCTCATCTCTAGCAGTACTTTTTCTCTTGTCTCTCAATCAACAGACCACACAGGCCCTACAGTAACACCATTCTAACTGGCTCTCCTTCCATTCAGCAGTCAGGATCATCCTCTTCAATCGTCACATTGTCTTTAGCACCAGCAACACCTCATACAACACACCATTGTCCTCCACCCCTATTGTCAGACAGAGATAGAGACACGGCATGCTAGAGAACTCAAACTCAAGTGCCCCATTGTCTTCACGTACACGTTCCTCTCACCACAATGTGCTGAAGGGTATTTCAGTCAGTCAAGCGTTTCCTTTCTGAAAGCCAAGAGATGACAGCTTGTCATAGCGCCACTGATAATAATGGATGGTTTGCCGTCGTGGGTCGATCTGACGCCAGCGACCCTCAGCAGGCACTGTAAACTCTGTGTGGTCCCATCTCACAGCTCGCTTTCAATAAGGGCTTTGTCTTGGCTGGATAAGACAGTACGAAGATGTCGAAGGCCTATGGGCACATTTGAGCGTCTATGAGTAAATTTAGGTGATTGTTATATTCAAGGTCTAGGATGATAAATAGGAATGATAAGTGTGCAATAATGTGATCTTTTTTTTTAATAACATGGGTGTGGATTTAGATGGCTGGCACCAGACTAAAGTAAAAAGACTACCGAATAATCGTAATCATACAAAACAACTGCTCTCATTCAGGGTTATTAAAGTTAAAGGGGAGCTATTATGCAAAATTCACTTTTACATGGTGTTTGAACATGAATGTGTGTTGGCAGTGTGTGTAAACAATCACCCTATAATGATAAAAATCCACCCACTCCTTTTTTTTACAATCCCCATGAATCATAAGCAATGTCTCAGAACAAGCCTTTGTGTCTCTGTGTGTGTGTGTGTCTCAGAACAAGCCCTGCACAGAATCTCCACAATGTGATGTCACATTGTACAGGCCCCGTCCATGACCATTGACGGACACTGCCCTATTAGCATAGATCCCGCCCTGAGTGAGCCGCACACAATCTGCCATGTTTATCTTCACGCAGGGGTGTCAAACTCAATTCCTGGGCTGCGTCTGAAAGCATAGTCAGTTGACTTGCTGCCTCACTGCCCTATCAGGCAATGACTTTGCAGGCAGCGTTTTTGCACCAAGGCACCTCATGAAACGGATTTCTGACAGGCTTCTGAGGCAGCGTAATGGTCTAATGATCTACAACAAAATAGAACGAGTTTTTGTGATAACTAAACAAATATTTAATGACTATAATACTGATTTCTAGCTAGAACTAACATCAAAAGTGGAAAAAGTTAGTCAGAAATATACATTTACACACAAACTGACAACCAAACGCAACTTTCAGACGCCATCTATATTTTTTAGCTCAATCATCATGGAATGGAACGCACAGGATTGTGGGATAACAAAGGCAGCAAAGGATACATCTATGCTACCTTCAAAAATCGGTCAGATGAAGGCATTTCATGAGACAAGAAGTGAAGCTAACTTTAGATTCGGACGTGCCTTGATGCCTTCCTACCTTGGGATGCGTCCACCGAAGGCAGCATTTTATAGTTTTCGGATGCAGCCCTGGAGGGACGGAGCCTTGCAGAGTTTAGATTAAACTCTAATTAAACACACCTGATCCAACTAATCAAGTACTTCACAAATGTTTACAGAACAAGCGGGAACCCAGTGTGCCTGTAGTTTTCTCTATTTCTGTTTTATCACGTGATAGAAAGTCTAAGGCCTTCTTAAGCCGTACGGCTGACTTATCTAATCTGCAGCCTGTTATGCATCAAACTAATATTGCTGTTGAGACAAAATGCAATGCCATCAAGTTAGCATTTTTAAACATTCGCTCACTAAAAAATAAATCATTTCTAATCAATGACTTAATAACCACAAACAACCTGGATTTTATGTTTCTAAATGAAACATGGCTAGAAGACCGCTGCAGTGCAACGGTCCTCAATGAAACAGCCCCTCCTAACTTCACTTTCATGAGTGTTTGCAGGACTGTTAGGAGAGGTGGAGGTGTAGCTGCTCTATTTAAAGATGTATATCAATGCAAGCAAGTGTCATTTGGTCAGTACTTGTCTTTTGAATATCTAGGGATTGTGTTGAAAGGTGCTCCACACATTCTGTTTATCATTATTTACAGGCCTCCAAAATAATCTCCAGCCTTTGTTGAAGAGTTACCCAGATTTACCTAGCCTTATCTCCAAATGACTACAGATGAGCTGCAGCTGTCTAATGGTCTTTTTGGGACGGCCGGTGAGGAGACCATTACAACTGTCCACCCTGCTGGTGATAAAGGCATGAACAAGTTTCTCCAAGTCTTGACTGGAAACAAAACATTTAATTTTTGCAATGTGTTTGAGATGATAGTATGCTGATTTAGTTATTGCTTTGACATGACTTCTGAAACTAAGGTCTGACTCCAGAATCACACCAAGATTCCTGACTTGATTTTTAGTTGTCTGATCCCTAGAGTCAAGGTATTCATTCATTTTGAGATCTTCATCTTTGTTTCCAATTGCAATGACTTCAGGTTTCTCTTTGTTTAAGTGAAGAAAGTTTTGGCACATCCAACTGTTAATTTCATCAGTGCTTTGGCAGAGAGGAGTCAATGGGGCTGTAGTCATTTCGCGATAAGGCTAGGTAAATCTGGGTATCATCTGCATAGCTGTGATTTGTGGCAATTTGGTTCTTTATCATTATTTGACTCAGTGGAAGCATATACAGACTGAACAAGAGTGGCACACGGATTGAGTCTTGAGGGACTCTACATGTCATGGACTTATGATCTCCTATACTCACATAATAACCTCTCCCTTCTAAGTATGAACTGAACCCTTTTAGGACCATCCCAGAAAGCCCAACCCAGTTTTCCAGTCTCTCTAGAAGTATAGAAGTATGTACAGTGTCAAATGCAGCACTGATATCGAGTAGTATCGAGTAGTAGATCGGCACTGATATTTTGCCAGAATGCCAGAATCTGTGAATATCATTTATTCGAATATCATTTATTATCTTTATGAGCCTGTCTCTGTGCTGTGATGTGGTCGGAAACCAGATTGTAAATTGTCCAGGTATCTATTTGAGTTTAAGTAGTTGTTCAGCTGATTAAAAACAACCTTTTCAGTAATCTTGCCTATAAAAGGAAGATTTGATATTGGTCTATTGTTGCTCAATATGGTATTATCCAGCTCTTTTTCAGGAGGGGATTAACAACTGCAGTTTTCAGGGAGTTTGGAAAAGTCCCAGAAAGAAGTGAGGCGTTCACCACTTCTAAGAAATCTGCTTCCAAACAGTTAAGCACCCTTTTGAAAAAATATGTGGGAAGTGTGTCAAGATAGCAGGTTGACAATTTAAGGTGCTGTACTATTTCTTCCAAAATTTTGCTATCAATTTCTTCAAAAGCAGACATAGTATCTTCTTTTTGATATTGTGGTCGAATATGTCTGCGGATGTGGCGGAAGACGAAACTTGAAATACACTATAGCATATATAAAGACAGCCTTCGTACTTTCAATGTGGAACTAGGCAAAGCTAGACAGTCATTCTTCTCAAACCTTATAAACAGTAACTTAAACAACACTCGCACTCTTTTTGCTACTGTTGAGAGACTGACAAACCCCCCAAATCAGATTGCCAGTGAAATGCTCTCCGGCAGCAAATGCAATGAGTTTGCTTCCTTCTTTTCTGAGAAGATCAATAACATCAGGAAGGTGATTAGCACATCCCCAAGTTATGCAGAGGTTAGACATATTCGACCACAATATCAAAAAGAAGATACTATGTCTGCTTTTGAAGAAATTGATAGCAAAATTTTGGAAGAAATAGTACAGCACCTTAAATCGTCAACATGCTATCTTGACACACTTCCCACATATTTTTTCAAAAGGGTGCTTAACTGTTTGGAAGCAGATCTCTTAGAAGTGGTGAACGCCTCACTTCTTTCTGGGATTTTTCCAAACTCCCTGAAAACTGCAGTTGTTAAGCCCCTCCTGAAAAAGAGCAATCTTGATAACACCACATTGAGCAATTATAGACCAATATCAAACCTTCCTTTTATAGGACAGATTATTGAAAAGGTAGTCTTTAATGAGCTGAACAAATACTTAAACTCAAATGGATACCTGGACAATTTTCAATCTGGTTTTCGACCGCATCACAGCACAGAGACAGCACTCATTAAGATAATAAATGATATTCGCTTAAATTCTGAATCTGGCAAAATATCAGTGCTGGTACTACTAGATCTCAGTGCTGCGTTTGATACTGTCGATCATAACATTCTACTAGAGAGACTGGAAAACTTGGTTGGGCTTTCTGGCATGGTAATTAAATGGTTCAGGTCATACTTAGAAGGGAGAGGTTATTATGTGAGTATAGGAGAGCATAAGTCTAAGTGGACGTCCATGACATGCGGAGTCCCACAAGGCTCAATTCTTGCACCGCTCTTGTTTAGCCTGTATATGCTCCCACTAAGTCAAATAATGAGAAAGAACCAAATCGCCTATCACAGCTATGCAGATGATACCCAGATTTACCTAGCCTTATCTCCAAATGACTACAGATGAGCTGCAGCTGTCTAATGGTCTTTTTGGGACGGCCGGTGAGGAGACCATTACAACTGTCCACCCTGCTGGTGATAAAGGCATGAACAAGTTTCTCCAAGTCTTGACTGGAAACAAAACATTTAATTTTTGCAATGTGTTTGAGATGATAGTATGCTGATTTAGTTATTGCTTTGACATGACTTCTGAAACTAAGGTCTGACTCCAGAATCACACCAAGATTCCTGACTTGATTTTTAGTTGTCTGATCCCTAGAGTCAAGGTATTCATTCATTTTGAGATCTTCATCTTTGTTTCCAATTGCAATGACTTCAGGTTTCTCTTTGTTTAAGTGAAGAAAGTTTTGGCACATCCAACTGTTAATTTCATCAGTGCTTTGGCAGAGAGGAGTCAATGGGGCTGTAGTCATTTCGCGATAAGGCTAGGTAAATCTGGGTATCATCTGCATAGCTGTGATTTGTGGCAATTTGGTTCTTTATCATTATTTGACTCAGTGGAAGCATATACAGACTGAACAAGAGTGGCACACGGATTGAGTCTTGAGGGACTCTACATGTCATGGACTTATGATCTCCTATACTCACATAATAACCTCTCCCTTCTAAGTATGAACTGAACCCTTTTAGGACCATCCCAGAAAGCCCAACCCAGTTTTCCAGTCTCTCTAGAAGTATGTTATGATCGACAGTGTCAAATGCAGCACTGATATCGAGTAGTATCGAGTAGTAGATCGGCACTGATATTTTGCCAGAATCAGAATTTATGTGAATATCATTTATTCGAATATCATTTATTATCTTTATGACCCTGTCTCTGTGCTGTGATGTGGTCGGAAACCAGATTGTAAATTGTCCAGGTATCTATTTGAGTTTAAGTAGTTGTTCAGCTGATTAAAAACAACCTTTTCAGTAATCTTGCCTATAAAAGGAAGATTTGATATTGGTCTATTGTTGCTCAATATGGTATTATCCAGCTCTTTTTCAGGAGGGGATTAACAACTGCAGTTTTCAGGGAGTTTGGAAAAGTCCCAAAGAGAAGTGAAGCGTTTACCATCTTAGATATTTTGATGTTTACTTCTTAGATATCTGGTTTTAAATAGTTAAACACACTTTTGAAAAATTATGTGGGAAGTGTGTCAAGGTAACGGGTTGACGATTTAAGGTGCTGCACTATTTCTTCCAAAATGTTGCTATCAATTGCTTGAAAAACAGACATAGTAACTTCTTTTTGAGATTGTGGTTAAATCTGTTTCACCTCTGCATAACTTGAGGATGTGCTAATCGCCGTTCTGATATTATTGATCTTCTCAAAAAAGAAGGAAGCAAACTCTTTGCATTTGCTGTCGGAGAGCATTTCACTGGGAAACTGACTTGGGGGGGGTTTGTTAGTCTCTCAACAGTAGCAAAAAGAGTGCAAGTGTTGTTCAAGTTACTGTTTATAAGGTTTGAGAAGAAGGTCTGTCTAGCTGTGCCTACAGTAGTTCCACATTGAAAGCATGAAGGCTGTCTTTATAGATGCTATAATGAATTTCAAGTTTCGTCTTGAGCCACATCCGCTCAGCTTTTCTGCATTGTCTTTTCATACTATGTACTGCTTTTGGGTTTTTATCTAATAAATTATCTGTGGGGTATTTTGAGCTGAAACTTCACAGACACATTCTGGGGACCCCTGAGAGGAAAGTTCATTTTTGGACACCAAAAATGAAGATTGCCCCATGATTTACTCACCCTCAAGCCATCCTAGGTGTATATGATTTTCTTTTTCTTTCATATGAATACAGCCAGAGTTATATTAAAAAATGTACTGGCTATTCCAAGCTTTATGAATGGGGGTCTAGATGTTGAAGCCCAAAAAAGTGCATCCATCCATCATAAAGTACTCCACATGGCTCAGGGGGTTAATAAAGGCCTTCTTAAAGGGATAGTTCACCCAAAAATGAAAATGTGATGTTTATCTGCTTACCCCCAGGGCATCCAAGATGTAGGTGACTTTGTTTCTTCAGTTGAACACATTTGATGATTTTTAAGTCCAAATTAAGACACCACTATGTCCAACTGCTTTGAGCATGCGCACGGCTTCCGGTGTGTGAGATGTGTACGCGCTCTGGCGTAGTTTACGTTAATGGTTGTGTTGTCGCGGGGGGAGCAAACGACAGACACAGTTTATTAACAGAAAATTGTTGCAACAATATATAGTGATATTCTCAATGTTACTCAGAAGACAGGATACAGGTTTAACTCATTCGAAATACTAATGCTTAATGTTACACTGTCAGATATGCAAAAGAAATCTATCGTATCTCTTGCTCTGGCTACTGTGTATAGACCACCAGGGCCGTATACAGATTTCCTAAAAGAATTTGCAGATTTCCTCTCAGACCTATTGATTACTGTTGATAAAGCGCTAATTGTCGGAGATTTTAATATTCACGTTGATAATACAAATGATGCATTAGGACTTGCGTTTACTGACCTAATAAACTCTTTTGGAGCCAAGCAAAACGTCACCGGGCCCACCCATCGTTTAATCATACGCTAGATTTAATTATATCACATGGAATTGATCTTACTGATATAGATATCGTACCTCAAAGCGATGATGTTACTGACCATTTCCTTGTATCGTGCATGCTGCGTATTACTAATATTAACTATATGGCTCCGCGTTATCGTCCGGGCAGAACTATTGTTCCAGCCACCAAAGACAGATTCACAAATAACCTGCCTGATTTATCTCAACTGCTCTGTGTACCAATAAGTACACATGAACTAGACGAAATAACTAGCAACATGGGCACTATCTTCTCTAATACATTAGAAGCTGTTGCCCCCATCAAATTGAAAAAGGTTAGAGAAAAACGTACTGCGCCATGGTACAACAGTAATACCCATTCTCTCAAGAAAAAAACTCGTAGTCTTGAGCGCAAATGGAGAAAAACTAACTTGGAAGTTTTTAGAATTGCGTGGAAAAACAGTATGTCCAGCTATAGACAGGCTCTAAAAGCTGCCAGGGCCGAGCATATCCACAAACTCATAGAAAATAACCAAAACAATCCAAGGTTTTTATTTAGCACAGTGGCTAGATTAACAAATAACCAGACGCCACCCGATCTAAATATTCCCGCACAGTTTAATAGTAATGACTTTATGAATTTCTTCACTGATAAAATAGATAACATCAGAAATACAATAAAAAATGTAGATTCTACAGCGTATAATACTTCAGCTTCATTCATCGCACCAAAAGATAAACTGCAGTGCTTTACAGCTATAGGACAGGAAGAGCTAAATAAACTTATCACTGCATCTAAACCAACAACATGCCTATTAGATCCTGTACCCACTAAATTACTGAAAGAGTTGTTACCTGTAGCAGAAGAACCGCTTCTCAATATTATTAACTCGTCGTTGTCTTTAGGTCACGTCCCAAAAACATTCAAGCTGGCGGTCATTAAGCCTCTTATTAAGAAACCACAACTAGATCCTAGTGAACTGGCAAATTACAGACCCATCTCAAATCTTCCTTTTATGTCTAAAATTTTAGAAAAAGTTGTGTCTGCTCAATTGTGCTCCTTCCTGCAAAAAAATGATCTCTATGAAGAATTTCAGTCAGGCTTCAGGCCCCACCATAGCACAGAAACTGCACTTGTTAAAATTACAAATGACATACTTCTTGCGTCAGACCAAGGCTGTGTCTCATTGCTAGTTTTACTTGACCTTAGTGCTGCATTCGATACTATAGATCATGACATACTCATAGATCGATTACAAAACTATACAGGTATCCAAGGGCAGGCTTTAAGATGGTTTAGATCCTACCTGTCCGATCGCTACCACATTGTTCATTTAAATGGGGAGTCATCTCAAATATCACCAGTAAAATATGGAGTGCCACAAGGATCTGTCCTAGGTCCTCTGCTATTTTCGATATACATGTTGCCACTTGGTAATATTATTAGGAAATACGGGATTAGTTTCCACTGTTATGCCGATGATACTCAACTATATATCTCAACAAGACCAGATGAAACTTCTAAATTATCTAAGCTAACGGAGTGTGTTAAAAATGTAAAAGAATGGATGACCAATAATTTTCTCCTATTAAATTCAGATAAGACAGAGATATTACTTATTGGACCAAAAGACAGTACGCCGAATCTCGTGGATTACAATTTGCAACTAGACGGATGCACGGTTACCTCCTCTACAGTCAAAAATCTGGGTGTTATATTAGATAGCAACTTGTCTTTTGAAAACCATATTTCCCATGTTACAAAAACGGCATTCTTCCATCTTAGAAACATTGCCAAGTTACGAAACATGATACCTGTTTCTGATGCAGAAAAGCTAGTTCATGCATTCATGACCTCTAGACTGGACTACTGTAATGCACTGCTAGGTGGTTGTCCTGCATCTTCAATAAACAAGCTACAGGTAGTCCAAAATGCAGCGGCTAGAGTCCTTACCAGGTCAAGAAAATATGATCATATTACCCCAATTTTACAGTCTCTGCACTGGCTACCTATTAAGTTCCGTATCAGTTACAAAATATTATTACTTGCCTATAAGGCCCTTAATGGGTTAGCTCCTGCATACCTAACTAGTCTTCTACCACGCTACAATCCATCACGCTCCCTAAGGTCACAAAACGCTGGACTTTTGGTAGTACCTAGGATAGCAAAGTCCACTAAAGGAGGTAGAGCTTTTTCGCATTTGGCTCCCAAACTCTGGAATAGCCTTCCAGATAACGTTCGGGGTTCAGACACACTCTCTCTGTTTAAATCTAGATTAAAGACACATCTCTTTGGCCAAGCATTCAAATAATGCATCTCATAATCTTTTACTGCAGTCATAATCTTTTACTGCAGTTATATCTAATCAAATGCACATTATTATTCATTAGTTTGGGTTAAACAAATCATTTTTGCTTGGTTGGAACAGCAGCTACGCTAATTATGTTTGTATTTGTTTCTCTGTCTTTTGCCACGGGATTAACATCCCGTGGTAACTAGGATTCACACAAGCTTCAGTCTGGATCCAGAACACCTGAGAAGAGATGATGCAACCCCTCAGAGGACCTCAGATGATGCCAACCCTGAAACAACATACAGAACTACCACATTTTGCAATAAGTTTGATTGCATCATATAATAATTGCTGTTAATATTATTCATCGTCTGTTTTATTACATCTTAAATGGATTTTTCCATACATTTCTGCGATTAAAAACAACCTTTTCAGTAATCTTGCCTATAAAAGGAAGATTTGATATTGGTCTATTGTTGCTCAATATGGTATTATCCAGCTCTTTTTCAGGAGGGGATTAACAACTGCAGTTTTCAGGGAGTTTGGAAAAGTCCCAAAGAGAAGTGAAGCGTTTACCACTTCTTAGATATCTGGTTTTAAATAGTTAAACACACTTTTGAAAAATTATGTGGGAAGTGTGTCAAGGTAACGGGTTGACGATTTAAGGTGCTGCACTATTTCTTCCAAAATGTTGCTATCAATTGC